CGGGCTCACATGTTGGCGGGCCAACCCGACCCGCACCACCCGGATTGACACCTCTACCCACTAGGTCCGCCCATGCCACCAATATAGCATGATTTGTGGGAATTACCAGCCTTATCTCTTACATCAGTCTGTTGATTCCCACAAATCATGTCGAGCTGTTGTGTTGTGCTAATAATGACGTTCGAAATTTAATTCATTAATGTCCTTCTAGTATGTTTTATAATATTGTGGAAAGATTTTGTCAATTTTGTTTGTATCTGTTAAGTACCAACTCCATCAAACTTAGGGGGTCAAACCAAAATGTTACAAAGTAGATTTTTAATCAAGCAAGTTAATTTTTTTTTTTAACGAGGTATCAATCCTTGAACCATTGATCTTAATTGGAGAAATAACAATACTAAAAATAAATTAGGACAAAGTGAATTGAAACCAAACCATAGAATTGATTTCCTGTCTCTAGCGGCCAAGATAAAAAATTTCAACTGCTAATGTGGCAAAAGAACATTAATGGGGAAATTAGGCTAAGTATGGCCTAAAACCTAAAGAATTGATTAATACACTTAATTATAATTAATTTATTCATTAACCATTTATTAACCGTATCTTCTACGTGAAAATGGATTTGAATCCATTGTGACTGCATCTTTGGGTTGATTTCAACATCATCTTCTTCAGTTTCGGATAATGGTTAAAGTTTATGACTGTATCTTGGCCTCGAAATCTTTTACGCCCAGAGTGCTTCGTCTCCCTTGGAGGCTCCACCCCTTAAACCCCAAACCAAACTACCCCAACCAGTTTCTCCACCATCTTTGCCTGCCGCTAATACGATTTTTGCCATGGTCGAGGAGTCCATCCACGTGTCTTTGCCATGGCTGTGTGGAGTAAAATGGAAGAGCCGTACGGCTTTTCTCCAAGCTTCAGTTTTCTCCGACTCTTGTTATCGCCAACATTTTTGTACCTTGGGCGATTGATGTAGCTTGTAGAACGAATATTCCGACGGCTTCGTTCTTGCCGATGATTCCAATGCTCAGTTGCATCATATAAGAGCACCAGGAGAGTTGAGGCAAGTGGGAAGCTCGGATGTTTTAAGTTTGAAGAAGAAGCCGGTGGCTGTCGTATACAAAGGCCAAGAGAAATCCGGGTTTTTGAGCAAACTGAAACTGGCATTGAAATTTAAAGAACCTGAAAATACCTCTCTGGACAAGATTTTGAACATATTCTCTGTATTTTGTTTATTCTGCATATAGGTATTCACTTTTCCTTGAGTTAATCTTCATCTTTTACAAACAATAACGGTCTAATTAACCTTACCATTTGTCTATTAAATGCCTTCCATAAGTCACTTATGCACATAGGGCCATGTCATGAATAAACCCAGTGTACCATAGGTTTCAAGATATCCAATTAGTGCTGTAACTTGTTTTTATTATCACCATGAATACTACTCTAAAAGATTTATGAATAGCATAAGATCCCAAACCTATTCAATGAATTATGTAGTTGCATTAGATATTTTTAGTGAATGGAGACGAAATTGTGGATTTATTGAACTTCGTTTGTCACCTTTTTTTTATTTTAAGTCACTTTTATTTAATGTGTCACTTTTTTGAATTTTGTGACTTTTTAAGTGTTTGTGACTTTTTTATTTTCTGTCACTTTTTTTTACTCTATGTAACTTTTTTTAAATTTGCGTCACTTTTTTGAATTCGTCAATTTTTTAAAAATTTCTTTCAGTTTTTTGAAATTTTGTCATTGTTCAAGTATTTGTCTGTTTTTTTGAATTTTCGTCACATTTTTTAGTGTGTCATTTTTTTTTCAGTCATCCTCTTGAAATTGCTATCACTTTATTTGGTGAAAACATCATTTTTTTAAAAGTAAAAGTAATATTGTATGTTATTTTCTAATAAAAAGTGAACTATACTTTTACAAGTGACATTGTGTCACCTTTTTTTAATTAAAAAGCGACATAATTTTGATAGAATAGTGACATAAAAAGTGACACTTAATTTTACACAGTATTTTTTTCTTCCAAAATACTTTTCATATGATTTTTCAAAAGATGGAATTTAGTATTTGTCACTTTTTTTTTGAATTTTTGTCACTTTTTTTAGTGTGTCACTTTTTTTCAATCGCCTTCTTGAAATTTCAATCACTTTTTAGTAAAAAACATCACTTTTTAATAAGAGTGAGATTGTGAAAAATGACACTAAACTTTTAAAAGTGACATTGTATCACGTTTTTTTTTAAATGACAATTTTATCACTTTTTTGTATGCTTGTAACTTTATTGAGTGTTTGTCAATTTTTTCTGCCATTTTTTTGTGTACTTGTAACTTTATTGAGTGTTTGTCAATTTTTTCTGTCACTTTTCTGAATTTTTTTTCACTTTTTAGTGTTTGTTATTTTTTAAAAATTTCTATAACTTTTTTGAATAACAAACATATGTTTTGATTGATTTTTGTCACTTTTTTAAGTATTTGTCACTTTTTTGAGTTTGTATCACTTTTTGAGTGTGTGTGTGTGTGTCACTTTTTTTTTTTTTAAAGTAAAAAAGTGACAATTTTTATAAAAAAAGTGACTTTATATCACTTTTTTATTTTACACAATATTTTTTANTATTTGTCACTTTTTTGAGTCCCTTTTTTTGAATCATGTCACCTTTTTTATTTTCAAAAAAATGACAATTTTTATAAAAAAGTGACATTGTGTCACTTTTTTCATTTTACACAGTATTTTTTACTTCCTAAAAATCTTTTATACGATTTTTCAAAATACTTCTAATTTTAAGGGTATTTTTGTAAGTACCCCAACATTATTTATGGTTCTAATTTATGAGCATTTTAAAGAACCATAACTCAAGTACTTTTGTCATGTCCTATCCACACAAAAGTTCAGTAGGGTTGATTATGTAGTGGAAAACCCAAACTTCACATATTTATAGCTTACACAAAAGATTACAAACTCCATAATCCAAAAAAAAAAAGTGAAGCTACAAGGATTAGAAAAAGTCCAGCTTCATCCCTTTTTTATGACCACTATTTTTTACTGCTCCTCTCTCTTCTTCTTCTTCTCTCCACTCTAACTAGTTTAAGCTTTTGGCGCTTCGATGGCTATCATTGGAGGCACTGGCGTAGGAGCACTAATGGCTATGGCTGGAACACACACTTTTTCGTCTTCATTTTTCTGCATTTCTGTAACATTATTTGCTTCAATATCTTCAATTCCCGTGCTTCCTAATTTTACTGGTTCAGGAATTTCTTCGGCTTCCTTCTCCTTGTACTCCTTGTATTTGCCCCACAGCACAGAGTAAAGTCCGATCACAATCAACACGGCCCCAAGAACACTGAACCACAATAAACAAAAGAATTTAGTTAAGAATAATTATATTTGCACTACAAGTTTTATTTCTTTCGTCTCATGTTAATTACACTTAAAGTTCTTAATCTTTTCTCATTATAAAACTTATGTCCCTAACAAGTTTTCATGTCATTCTTATCCACAAACTTTCCATTAGCTAACACATTTTGTACTTGATCACATTTTTATGTCCAGAAGTCCATTGAAATGGGGTAAAACAACTTACTTTTTCATCATATTTTTAAAAAATAAATAAATAAAAAGTGCAAAAAATAATAATTCTTCCCTCATTTCGAAGCATGAAAAAAATATTTCGATATAAATCATCATTAAAGACGAGAATTACTAATTAATGGAAGGTTAAAGATAAGAATTCAACAAAAAAAAAAAGTTAAGTAAATAATTGCTACAATGAACAAAGATTGAAGAAATTAACTGCAATTAAAATATGATGTATCAAATAAAAATTGTGGTGACAATATAACCACCATGTAGTTAATTGATCACAAACAAGTTACAACATCATATTTTATATTAATTTTTTCTTTGATTACAAATCACGAGAAAAAGTACCCGCCAACATATATTTTCTCGGCCAAAATGAAAGAGCCCATGATTGCTACAATTATCATCATCAATGGACTGAATGCAGTCACAAAAACCGGCCCTCTTTTTTGCATGACGAGTCCTTGTACATAGTATGCAATGCTTGAAGAAACAATACCCTACAATAGGAAAAAAGAAACGATAATGTGCTTTGCGCTGTCTATGTGCATGTTGAATTCATTTCCACATAACCTTAGCTCCTGTTTGGCGATCATTATTTGGGGAAAAAACAATGTTTTGAATAGCGATTTTTAGAAAAATGTGTGGTTAAAAAGTAGGAAAATATTTTAGATTTACGTGTAGAATATTTTATTATGTGAATGTGTGATCGAAAATGATTATGTAGAAAAAAGAATTTTCAAATAATGATTGTCATACATGCGCTTAATATTTGCTCAATTTGCTTTAATAAATACAGAAAATTTTCGACTTGACTCACAGCATAGGCAGCAGCTAGCAGGTTCATGTCCCACCCAATGGTCCAAACAGATGAATTGTGCTCCATCACAAAGGTGACAGCTATAGATTGCAATGTTCCCATGAAGCACACAAGGGCTGTTAGGGAAAGAGGGGCTGTGTATTTCCTCATTGTGATGGCCTGTGAAAAAAATCAATTGGATTGTTATTCTAATTCAGTTTCTTGCCTAAAAATAAAATAAAACTAGGGAAAAAGAAAAAGTGCCAACTACCTGAAGGATGAAGAAAGAAGCCCAGGCAAGGGTGGCAATAATAAGAAGAATTGAGCCTTTAAGCCAGTCCTCATCAGTGGCTCCAATAGTATCAGGAACATTAGATTTCTTAGGATGTATGTACTTGGACCATACCATGTTTATTATTTCACCTTTGTACAGTGTCATAAGCATGGCTCCAGCCACTGTCACTACTGTTCCCACAACCTTTGCTTGGCACCTTACCTTCTTTATGTCCACCTTCTCCATCCTACACTTCGCCAAAAGCAGGTTAGATAATACTTTACCGTAAAATAAACAAAACTCGATTAATTTTTTTCCTTTTTAATCATTTTCATATGGTCTAGTCTCCGTAATAAAGATGTCGTTAGCGACTCATTTTTCATAATATTTTGATTTCTCGGTTTTTCTTTTATGGGGATTTTTGGGGGAGAGAGTTGAATTTACAGAAGGGAAAAAAAAAAAAAAAAACCATTATATACACTCGGTAGGCTGATAGTGCAGTGCTTTACAATGAACACATTTCAACGTTTTCTATTATATGTGTGTGTGTATATATCCAATTTTGAGAATCCATGTCTCCTTTTTAGAAATGATCACTCTGTCCCTTTCAAAACAGGAAATAACAAAACAAGCTCTGTACGCCACTACTTGTTCAATAATGCATGAAATTGCAATAAGAATTAAGCTATATGTCCGGGGCCACATGGGCCCTGGACGCACAGGGGCATCATCCTATTGGTGGGGGGTCTGTCCCGTGGAGCATGGTGTCCTTGCAATAATGAACCAATCGGTTTCTTTGTACTTTTCAAAATAAAAGTTAAGCTGTTTGTACAGATTAACTGGGACAGGTGCTGATGGCATCACATACTAAAGACGTCATCGCCTCATCAGCGTGCTAATTATACGATTTCTGGGATTTTCCGGGATTTTATTTGTTCATTTTCAGATATTCATAGGACCCTGTTTTGAAAATTTTCAAAAGAAAAAGAAAAAAAATGGAGATCGAGAAGATGATAATATGTGTACCTGCAGAGGACTGCCATGACAAATGTCATTGCTGGAAGCATATTGCTCATGGCACATGAGAAAGTAGGGGAAGTAAATTTAAGTCCAGCATAGTAGAAGTTCTGATCAATAACTGGCCTGTACAGAAATTCAAATTTGAAACGTGAAACTTTATTTCTATCAGTGAAATTTTTTGACCCATGAACTTAAAATACACTCACCCAAGAAGTCCCAACACAAATAGCTGCAGAAAAATTGGAAATGTAATCTTAGGCCTCATTTTCCTGTGTATACACAAAGACAGAATATTAGCACTTTTGAAATCTTTCCAGCCTACTGCAAAAACTATTATGGCTTGTTCGGTAATGGATTGTACAATACTAGACAGTATAACCGAAGAACCAAAACCCAAAATCTTGTATTAAAAAAAATAAATACGGGTACCATTCAAGAAGGAGGGCAAAAGGTGCAATAACTGCACTGGCAAAGGCATGTCTATAGACCACAA